TAGTAGTAGTAGTAGTAGTAGTAGTAGTAGTAGTAGTAGTAGTAGTAACCACTTCCATGCCATAGCCTGGACTGCCATCCGGGTCACAAGGCCAAGGCCTGGAGCCACTGGGTGCCCTTCTCGCAGGAGCTGATGGCAGCACTGTAGAGGACGACATCTCCATGGAGCCGGGTGCTCTCCAAGGCCTCCTGAGAGGCGCTCGCCATCAGCTTGTGCCCTCCCAACTTGTAGCAACTGCCATCGTTTTGGCACACGACATGGATTTAAAATCTTAAATAACTTCTTACTGGAAAAAGGTGCTGACAAAAGAATCCCATAGGATCCACCCCAAAGACACCTCCGGGATTTTTCAAATCCAAAAAAAAAACGACGTCACCCTCGACGTGGAGAGTGATGACGTGGATCCGGGCCTCGTGGGTGGTGCCTATTGAATAGGGAAGGGGATCACTGGTGGAATTTCTGAAGGCTAATAGATGTGAATAGCTTAGGCATGGATCTTGGATGGTGTCCTGGAGGTTTCTTGTTCGGGTTGCGTGGCAAGCTTCATCTCACCTTAGACAATGGCACATGACTCCATAACAACAAGTACTTGTACCCATTTTCCGCTGTATTTTGAGACTCCAGGTCCAGGTACTCCTCAGTCACATTCGGCAAACTGAAGGATGACCTTGACTTGTCAATTCAAACTCAACAGCTTAATGAGCATACAAAGGCGACTTCTTTTGGCCAGGGTAGCTTGCAGAACAGAAGCTCCCATACCTCCACCTATCTTGGTATACATAGCCATATAGACTTCAGATTCCACTACATTTGCTCCAGTTTGACCTCCATCCATTATACCATCCCTTCTTCAGATGTCTTGCCGACCATCTTGTCTTCTGCGTACAAAAGTCAGCCCTGTCACTCAGAGTTCAAGAGAACCGGCGAAAGACATAGCGCAAGCACCTCTTGGCACTGTGATCTGGACCCGACGGACAGTTCATACCATAGAAAATTGGTCATGACCCCATAAAAGACAGGTACCGTACGACAGTCCCCATTTTTGCGGGTACAAACCATCCATGTGGGAGTCTCTGGGTAGTTCAGGTTTAGATCTTCTCAACTTTTGGGCCTTCCCATGGCTCGCTCCAAAAACCGCCTTCCCATGGCTCGCTCGTCCAAGAGGCCATGAGCTGCAGCGCCTTCGTCCACTCACCCGCCTTCTCGCAGGCGGACACGGCTGCCCCAAAGGTCACCAGGTTGGGCGGCACCGAGCTCTGCCACATGAAACCTGGACAGGCATTGGCGCATGGGCGTGACAGTGCCGGAGATGGAAGTTTGAGAGGTCATCTGAAAAAAGAGGACAATCGTGATTCATATACAATCAGTTTGAAGGGGTTCAACTTGAGAGTTTATGTTGAGAAATCACCATCTCTCCCAACCAAGTGTCTGAACAACGGTTAAAACCATATATATATATATATACTGTTTTTGCCAAAAGCAGATTTGCTCAGAGTCCAAGAGGGGGTGGCTTGGAAATTGTCGTTGAGTCTGAACACCCTTGCCTGTTCATCAAACCTCCCTTTAGACCCTTCGGATGTGATCTTCCCTGTTCGCTGCTGGGAGTCGCTGTCAACTTCGCTGTCAGAGTTGGACCTCAACAAACGGATAGGATAGTTTAACCTATGTGGTTGTTAAACGTGTCGTTGGACCTCCCAAGGTTTATGTTTTTTTTTTTTTTTTTAAACAACACCATATGACACCTTTCATTTTGGTCTCCAAACACTTCAGACTTGCACCGAGCTCTTTGGCACTTCATCACGGGATCAGGTCCCACCATGTCCCACCCCAAGACCACCATGTCCCAGCCGGGCATCGGAGTAGCTCCACAGCCCTTGGCCACTGGGAGGCTTTCTCACAAGCGCTGACCGCTGCAGAGAAATGAAAGATGTTGGGATCCATCCGCACCGCTGGGATACCTTGTTGAGGGCCCTTTTCACATCAAACATCGTGGACTATTATTGATTAACATACTCAACTCAACTCAAAACATATGTATATGTTGTTTTCATTGTTTAAATAGATTATTGATTCCTCAAAACATATGTATATGTTGTTTTCATTGTTTAAATAGATTATTGATTCGATAGGGGCTAGGGGAAAGATGACTTAAATGGCTGGGCCAAATGTGTTGAGTCGTTGACACGTTATGAACAGTTGATAGCCTTCAACGTCAACAACCCTTGCTTCAGCTCAGAAGCAAGGCCACCTATATACCCACCGGGCGGACCGCATGGCAGCAGGATTAAGCCAGCGGGCCGACCGCGGGCACCAAGGGCAAAAACCTGAAACATAGGACTCGATATATCTGAAAGAAACATGTAGAGAGTTCCATTGCAACTGGCAGCGTGTCAAAAGACTGTGCTGGCTGAACTATCGGTGCTTCTTGCTATGTCCAGCTGCTGTTGAGGAGGGAGAGGGCCTGTGCCCATAGGCTTGACTTTGCACATGCAGAGATTGCCAAGGTAAAATGAGGCCCGTCCAGCCTGAGAGGCTCACGAATTCGGCAAAGGTACCGACTGCACCCGGACCAGCCGCCAGTGGACTCAATGTCCACATGTTTCCGGATGCTTTGGATGTTGTCTGCTTGACATCCTACAGAATCCTACAGCGCTTTGTCCAGGTGCTGCAGAATTCCTGTCATGTCATCACTGGAGCTACAATCCATGAAGGAAGGACGGAGGACGGACAACCATAGAGTCAGGCAAATACGCCTTGTGACCAACTACTCAGCCCATCGACAAGAATATTGGAAGCTTTCTTCGATTTCTAACGATTCCAACACCTGTCTTTGTCAAACCAACAATTGACACAAACCAACCCCCTTCTCCAAATCATGCAGTTAGGGCTGCGTTGTATTCGCGACATGCACATGAAGCAGTCAGTCATTTACAAACACAAAGAAACAAACCAACGAGCAAGCTAACAAACCAACGAGTTGGATGATCGGGCAAGAAATCCCCCAAACCGTCCTACGAACATGTGTCATCTGGATTCGGTCCTTTCTTTCGAGATGAAAAGGATTGAAAAGGCAAAACAGTACGCGTTGCGGAAGGGATGTTGGGTTTGTGTTTAACCCTAGGGCTCCAACAGAAAGTAATTGAATCATATTGAATTTTCCCTGGCACCCACCCCAACCATCTCAGGAGGTAAAACATCGAATCAGCGTGCCCATGAGTGCTTTAAGTCGTGAGCCTGCGAGTTGTCACAAAAGGATGGTCCAATGGGTCGCCCCTTTTGGTCTAACGACCTCTGGGAACGCCACGGACCCAGCGTACGGACGAGCCACGGGAATCCGCGTTCGCTGGGCAGGGGCAGGTCTGTGGAATCCGCCGAAACATGGGTGAACCAATCAGAGATTGTTGTGAACCAATCCAGTGCACTTGACCAGCCCGGATCAACATGATACAGTGAGTTCTGTGGGTTTTCACTCCCTTCGAACATGGAACCACATCTTCAGCCTCCAAACACCGGTGTTTACGCTGAGAGTGCTGGGTTGTTGACGTGCTTCTGCACCAGGAGCATCTGTGTACGTTTGGTCATCAGCCAAGAATTCAATTATCATATATATTTGAGGCATGCAACATACAATTCGGAGACCACATGGAATACCCCAACTACCCAACTTCATCAATCCAGTTTGCCATAGTTTGCCTAAGTCGTGGGATCCCTGTTGGATTCAACGCACCACTCTTCTTCTCCAAATTGTCCTCAAAAGGCACGTACTGGTCTCCTCAATCATGGCATTGAAGAGGCCTTGGACAAAAATCGAAGGAAGTTGGAGTATATGTTGGAGTCTGAGTTCGTACCTTGGAACATGGGCACTGTGGCACACATATACCTGTTTTCTCTCTCGTCATGGTCCCGTCTGGACAGTCCGGTCCAGGTCTTGATTGCTTCATGCTTGGTCTGGCTGATAGAGGAACTGCACAACTCTTCGGTGACGCAACAAGACGGAACTCATGACCCACACCGGGTCCTTGTCGGTCCCGGTACCGGCTGACCCCGCGGGTGTGACCCGGGTCGCCTACCGGGGGGGGACGAAGGGACCCGGAAGGGTGATGAGTCGATGAGGTGGTCGATGGGTCGGTGAAGGTGGGGTCGTGGGAGAAGAAGGGTCATTCCTCCAAGGCTCTGCAAATCACATCTGCTCGGTTCTCCTAGAACAAGAAAAGGCGGTGAATTCCAAACCTCAACTGCACCACAAACATGAACAAGTTAACACTTAAACATGTCAACAATTTGTCACATGGGTTTTAGGTAGCTTTAGCTTGTACCCATTGAGGCTCATGGACCCTCAAACTGCTATGCACATGTTGGCGGTTCAGAACCCGATGTCAGACCTCCTCTCAGCCCCTCCTCTGCACATGACGTCTGGAAGAGTGTTGTTTCAGGCGAAAAAAGGAGGTACCTGGACCCCTCCAAAGTGCTGAACATGGGACATGACCGGATTGAAGAGATCCCACACAACGACACGTCGTGCCGCATCTGGAACAGCGGGGTGTATGGTACGTACGGTATGTGCTTTCAGGCTCCACGTAGAAGCTTCGAACAACAGAGCCTCCGACCCCAATCCCTCCATACTCACTTGGTGACCTACGACGCTGCGAAACCATGCGAAACCAACAGGTATTGAGGTACAGTCACCATCCAACAGGACAAGGATGGAAGGGAGTACGCCGCCATGTATTTTGGAAACGCCTAAAGGATCAATGTATGCAAATATGATCTAAAGGCACCAATACAAGTTCACAACCTGCAGTCGTCATGTTCGTACCTCGGACAAAATGGGTGGCAACAAGTATATACAAATTCCCTGTTTTGGTAGGATCATATTCCATTTTCTAGGCAAACGGAGTACAAGTTCTTTGATAGGGTGTGATTTCAATGCTTTTGGAACGATTTATATACATGTGAAGAATCCTTGGATTCCCTAGCGGAAGAATCGCTCCATCGGAGGGTCAGAAGTCTGTTGATTTGAGCGCCTGGATTGTCAAGTGCACCCAGTTCCCTTGGAAAATGGGACATGGTTGATATTTCCTCTTACCTACTCCTCCACTCTGACTCTAGGTACTTTGGACAGTCCAACTTGACTTCACGCGAAAAAAAAACAACATAAATAACAAGTGCTCCACCCACTCCTGCTGCAGTCTCCTCACCAGCTTCGCCACATCAACGCTCCGCTCTACTGAAGGTCGCACCTCTCCGCCAGACGGCAATGCTCCAATCACCCAAGTAGCCCAAGTGGCCATAGGCAGTACCCCAAGTAGCTGCTTTTGCGTCCGGCCAAGGTCCCACCGTCACTTTGGAGGGCCCAGGTATTTCAGATTTCAGAGGCACACTGAGATTGCTTGGTCTAAGTTAGGAGACCGAATGGACCAGCCACCAGGTGCGACCAGGTAATCCCTCCCCTCATCAGGTGCGCTTCTTGGATCTCTCCCGTTCAGTCGGCGGCATCGAACTCCCGGGAATCGGCCTCGTCGGGCCTAGGAAATCGGCTCAGGCCCAGAAGCCTCACAACGCTGGCAGCCCAGGTTGGTTTGGCCACCTCGGGAAGGAGACAAATGGGGTTCGAGGCGATTCAAGCTCGAAGGCATGTCTGTTTTCCAAGTCTTGAGACGTTACTCTGCAATTGCGCCATTGTGTCCTGTGCAAGTAAACAGTACAAAAAGACTTCCCTCTTGCGTACACTGTGAATATACAGATTGTGGTTACTTGGAGGGGTCATTTTGGTCTAACGCCTCCATATATAGACCTGAAATTGCCGCAAGAAACATGCGAACACATCACAATGCGCCCGAACCACGCACCAACTTTTCGCAACCACTGCATCACGGCCAATGTCCATCAATCGTGGTACACAGCAACTTTTCTTGCAAGCACTGCATGCAGTCACTGCAATCCTTCAAACAAACGAGCCACTAAGCAGTTGTTGCGAATTCATGCGAAACACTGAGAGCCTTCCAAAATAAAACAATTGGCAGGACGTTCACAACTGATGGCCATTCATCATCATTCATCGGCCCATGGACCATGACTCTCAGGAAAACCCACTCCCTAAATAACGACGGACGTTTAATTTCAGAAGTCAAACCCTGTGACAGTCATTGATCTCCACTACATGACCCCTTAACTTTTGCGTCATGGGTCCACACCCGACATCACGACATCCGACATCGTTGTCGTCTGAGTGGCCGCCATAGCATTGCTCGGCCACCGCAAGGACCCCCCACAAAGGCCAAGCGAGAGATCAGGAGCCAAGAGTCAAGGGTCAAAACTAGCGGCATGGTGGACACCACTGTACTTGGACACTGCATCTTCTACATGTGGTGGAAGATGTCATCCTTCAACGGTGGGTTTGGAGACTGATGTCGCAGCAACCAAATCTTGAATGTCCTACATGAGAGATGCACAAGCGATTTGTTGAAACATTGTCCACATATGTCCACATCCAATCCGATGTTGCAAACTACCTCTAGGGTCATAAACACCTTCGCAGTAGTTTCCAAATCGTAGGCTGATATGGCTACGTCAAAACCTTCTGCACAAATCTCCAAGAATGAACTGCTCATGGTCAGAACGCGGTTGTTGATCGTCAAAACACGTAGACTCAGGAATTCACCATTTCTGCACCTGTTCCCAGGCTTCACGTGTCAGTGCAAAAGCCGGTCCCTTTCGGGGGGGTGCCTCCCACCAAACCCGGTAGACCCGGAAGACGGAACGGCGAAAGGTGAAAAAAAAAAGGTGCAGCTCGAGTCCGATCTTCAAAAACAATGTACTTATAAACCCCCTAAACCCACCAAACCTGACCCAAACGCCTTCTCATCAGGTATTTGGAGGCCGATAATAGGGATTGGACAAGTATACTATATGGCAGTCGTCCTACACCTTCGGACATTCACCATGGCTTGAGCTCAAACAGTGTCTGAATTGCCTGGAAGCACAAATCAGCATGACAGAGTTCGGGTGGTTTTGGGGTACCCCCCAAAAACACATATAGAGCTCCTCAATCCCCAACCATTGGGTGTTGGAAACGTTCATCCACACCCACATACAAACACGTCCCCTCATCCAACCCTCTGACTCCGGGGCAGTCCAACGTCAGGTCCATAGAAACCGTTCCGGTGCTCCGGTGCTCGGTTCGACCCTTCCAAAGCATTGGGAAAGAATGGGAATAGTGATATGGAGTCTCACACAGTACCTCAGAACATAGGTACAAAATAGAACAAGTATACATGTGTTTTATATGGTCATGTTCGCAGCATGTTCTTTCTTTTGAGGGGGTACAGTACTGAAATCCGTAGTAAACCAATGGTTGTTTCATGTTGCATCGGTACCCTAGACCTCCTGGCCTACCTCCGTTTCGATGGTTGGGGAAAAAGTGGTGGAGACCTAGGGGCTCCAACCACCAGAGGATATGGTTGGAGACCTAGGGGTACATAGCTATGAAATGACTTGGACCTTTGATGCACCACCCGACCCCTTGCGCGTCCAACGCCCCCGCCCGCGTCGCAAGCGTCACGCGTCGCTGCCTCACGGCTGGGCACCGGCTCGGCCTCCGAGTTTCGGCGCACATGGCACGACCCTCCGTTCGTCAAGCAGTCATGGAACAGGTCATACAGGCATAAAGGTGTTTGCGGAGGGTTTAGAGGGTCCAAATACCTTCTGAGGAGGTCCTTCTGAGGAGGTACTTGGAGCCCTAGGGTATAGGAATGCCACTAGGGATCCCGAATTTTTCCACCTATTAGATTCTGTACTGTTTATAAGGTCGGACCTTTGCGACCGAAAGATACGAATGGAGCAAGTGGGCACACTCCAGTGACGGCCAGGCCGTGTCTTTTCCGTCACGTATGAGCTGAAGGCAACTGATTTTTACTCATGGATGGTCCCAACTTGCTGCAAGAACACAGATCTGGGCTACAGAATAACTCACAATTAAATATCTATAACATTATATGATATGTTTTGTAAATGTTTTGTAGATACAGGCCAGTATGTTCGATGGGGCTGAACTATATAGAATGCTGTTCTTCAACCCGGCCACACTGTCATGCCAAAGAAGGTGTTTCGGACAGGTCTGGTTGGACTGCCCAAGATCGACTCGTGCAACACCTCCCGTTTGAGATCCTGACCCTTGGATCTGTCATGTAGCTTCCGCATGTTTTCAAGCAGTCCGTCACAGTTCCAGCCGTCTTTGCATTGGTCCAAACTCAGAGGGTCCAACTACTTCTGGGTTGGTCTCTTCCAGTGGTCCACTAGGGCCTCCAGATCGGTCCGTGGCCGCGCCACGTATACGACGAGCGAGCGTTCGCCAGCTCCAGATGACAAAGATTAAAACCAAAAGTTCCCTGTTTGGGGGTGTCTATATAAAATATATGGCCTATATAGAGGTTAAGGAGTGACCTTTAAACTTTGTTGGGGAGCACTGGAATGTCCCTGCAAACGTTGCAAAGCTGCAGGATCTTGGCGGGGAGCTGCCAAATCGTTGCGGGTAGTGGGCTGACGTTGCAAGGTTTTGGATGGCATGGGGCTGACTAAAAGACTACAAGGGAACAAATATCAAAACAAGGTTGCGAACAATTACACCTAATCAATCACAGACCTCCGCAAACTGTTTTTTTGGTTCCTCTACTGCACAAAGTTGAATCCCCCGACTCCTAACAACCCATATCCAGCAGGGGGGGGGCCCTCCCAGGGACCGTGCGCACCCGCCATGCACTCGGAAATCTGAGGCCCCAGACCGAACGGGAGCTCCGAAGCACAGGAGAAGGCCTCCACAGGTGGGCACACCGATGGATGATGCTGCAATCCTCTGGACCGGGATCAAGACTTTGAGATCTTCAGAACTTGCTACCTTATTTTGCATGCAACCACTGGCATGCTTCATTGAAACGGGCCACCGATCCAAACGATGGCACCAATCCTCTGCGTGTGCACATGGCATTTTGGATGCCTGGGAATTCAAGATTCAAATAATACATCCTCACAGCAAAGAACCCTTCTCGGTCGCACACCTCAAGTTCCTCGAAAGAAAGATTGAACTTTATCAAGAGCTTTGTTTCCATGGATGAAGTGGTGTCTTGATATGTTTGCGGACCGAGCGTGCGCATGGTAAACATCGCCAAACTGATTGAAATGTTGGATCAAAAAACAGAAACACACTTCCCTAGCTAGCAGTTCTCAGCCACGTTCACGTTCGACCCGCTGCAGCTCTTCTCCCACCATCATTCCTTTAGGTACAGACTTTCACCGAGGGCTTTGAACGACCCATAAAGATGAAGGATCATGAAAGGCTCCCCTGGTTCCTCAGTTCGTGACCGATCTTGATACCCTGGTTTGATGTCACAAGGCCTCTTAAGGGTCCTTGGCTGGTCGCTACCTTTTCTGTCAATATCATGTTGACTTCCAAGTGCATGTTGGGGGAACCTAGTAGTTTCTTGCTACTGGTAGTCATGCCCTTAGCTACTAGTAGTCATGCCCTTAGCTACTAGTAGCGTCCTTGCTCCCAGTAGCGATGCCCCCTTGTTACTAGTAGTTTCTTGCTACCAATATATCACCACACTTTCAAGCTGTTCGGCGCCTCCGAGCCACCGCTCCTGCGCATATGCGAGTGTGAGGGGGCTGGCATTGGGCATATGCGTGTGTGTTCAGGCCACAAATGGCAGGCTCAACGGCTGTTGAGCTTATGGACACTTTCGATTTTTGACTTTCGGACCGGTCCGTACGGCGCACCGCCTCGCATGCATTCAGTCTAATTACGTGCTCCGGTAGCATAATCCAGGCCATGACTCTCGTGGTCATCAGCTGCCTCAAAGAGCTCAGACCTTATGGGAGATCTTACTCCAAAGGGTTCCCAACCAGGGTCGTCCGGCAGAGCTCAGCTGTGAGCTGGCAGAAAGCCGGTGGGTACTCTTTCAACTTTGAGGTACGCCAGGCCTCATTGGCTTTGCCAATGGAGGTTGCGCTTCATTAGTGCGCGTTACGCGTTTGCGCATTTTATGCGCTCGGGAACGCCTCCCAAAAGCAGTCCCCCATGGTAGCCTTGTTCTCGGAGCTCTTGTAAGCTGTGTTCAACTATATATATATATAAACATATATATATAGCAAAGATGCACCATACTCCGGCGAATGCGCCCATTGCAACCCAGCCACTAAACGTTTTGGCTCTGGGGGGTGGCGCATATCGCGAGCTGCTTGGCGTCGGTTGCGAAAGCGACAGAGACGGCACGTGGAAGCGCTGGAACCAGCACAGGGCGTCAATCCACGTCTGCCCATGCGATTGCAGGGTGTCCAACATTTTCTGACCAAAGCTCGTATTCAGTCGAAGCTCGTCCGAGCTCTATGATTGGATGCACAAGCGTTCAATTAGTTTGCCAGTGTGAGCAGTCACCAGGGTATACGTATAGTCGCTTGCTTCCACAGCGTGAGCGGCCTGGACAAGTTTCACAGTGCAACCCAGGCACCGAAAGCTTTGCCCGTGCTTGGGACGAGCTAGGCTTTCGACTGGCCTTCCACTTTGCTGTCGCCTGGTCCGCGCGTTTTCCCACCGTGCTGTGACACTCTGATCTCTTTTGGAAGACTGTCTCCACTACATGCGGACTGTCTGAAAAGCATTTGACATAAAGCCCGGCTTCTAGAGGACACAGTTTCTCACCCCGACCCTTGTTGCACATCAAGCAACGCACAGCAAAGCTGCAGATCCCCTCACGAACCTCGCGATGGACGGCTGCCATCGACATTGACTGTCTATAGTCCCCTCTTCCATGGCTGCACCATGAAGACTTGCAATACTCTGCAGCACCTTTGGGTGTCATGTCTCGGGAACCACCTAACTTAACCACAGGCGGCTGCAACCGAAGCGCAGGCGGCTTCTGCCTCTGTGCTTCTTCCTTTCTATGCCCGGCTGGTGCCTCAGATTGCGACACTCCCATATACAGGCAAATACAAATACCTTCCTTGGAATCCGGATCTCAAACTTCCCCGGATACTCTTCCATGTCTGTGGGTACAGCTAGTGCCTTGTGCTCCACAGTCGCATACTTCTTGCATGCCAAAGGCGTCACTGCCCGCAAGGCTTTCACAAACTCAATGTTGGCTGGACCCCAGTTAACTGGCAAGGGTAGTGGGTGGGCTTAATGAGAATAAAAAAGAAAAAGGTTGTGGATGAAAAGGGTGCGTGGCTCAAAACGAAGGGGTTACGGG